CACACCCACACCCACACCACACCCACACCCACACCCACACCCACACCCACACCCACACTATCAGATCTTAAAAAAAATACTTTTATAACCAAGCCAACTTTTTGTTGCATTGAAATAAATGCTCATTCTTTACTTTTTGTAATTCTTTTAGTTATTAAAAACAAATTACCTATTGATGCACTTAATACGTTTACTTTTAACTCACAGATATGTGAGAATACTTTTGGAATTGCACATTCATTATCAGGTTCATTTTCGTCAAATACAAATTTTAGTGTAAAATCATTTTTAAAAAGATGCGGAAAAATATCAATAGTTAATTCAATTAAAAATCGTGGTGGACCCCTAGGAAATTATCAGTTTTATTTTCCACAACATCATAAAAATCATAAAGATACAATTAATTATTCAATAGGACATGTCAATGAATTGAATTTGACTGAAAATGATATTGAAATTATTATCAAAAATGCATTTGAAGCAGCTCAAAAGTATGTTGCAATGGTTAATATGACTCAATTTTTGGAGAAAAAAAATATCTATACATTATCAGGTTTAAATACATTTACAAAAACAATTTTATATAAATCGTTGTCAAAAATTATCGACTATACAGTTGATAATAATAGTTCCGATGAAGATTCTGATGAGGAAAATTGTTCTGATGAAAATGATGTTTCCAATGTATTAAATAATGAAAAACAATTATCACCAAATAATACCGATGATGAAGAGCAAGGAAATACAATAGCAACTGTTGTTCCTGATACAGCACAAAAAAAGTTCAATGGTTGTCGTATATACGACAAAATCAATCCACAACAATCAAAGAAATATTTTCGTATACGTATGGGTTCATCATATAAATTTATACACAAACAAACGGCTTGTTGGTTACTTACAACGGATAAACAACGATCTTCAAGTGATCGATTACTACGTGTTCAGCAATAAGGAGTAAAATAGCATAAGTCCTGTTTGCAATTATTTACATTTGATTTTTCATATTTTTGTTGATGCCGCCTTTCGTGTTGTTGTTTTTCATATAATTTTTTTATATTTTTCTTTATATAGTTGTTTATGTTATGAAGTATTTTTGATATTCACTTTTATGAAATTTTTGTATTTTCATATATTACTTGCATGAGATGGAAACTTTCTTCAGTATCATTGAAAATAAATAGACTTTTTATGAATTATTTACAAATTACTGAACTTACGAGGGAACTTCACCAACTGATACCAAGCTTTTCAGTTCGGACCCCATGCATAAAGTAGGTCCTAGTGAGGTATGAAAAACCCCAAAAGGTTAATGCCATTAGGCCTTCTGTCCCGAGTTATAGGCAATATACTGAAATTTTAGCCTACGGCAGGGTATGTAGGAATAAATCAAATGACGATATTTCGACCTGAGATTTTGCCCACAGAGAGGTCTATACGTGACTAGAATACCCTGAAAATTTCAGCTAAAAAGAATATTTCCTTCTCGAGATA